TTAAGGAAAAAGTGAATGATCCATCTTATTCACTAAAGGGAATTGTTGGTGTGCCCTCCTAAATGGTATATTCTTTTGTGGAGAAGAATGTTTCGATTTTAAACTAAAAAGTGTTTTATCCACTATACATTCGATTAGTACTGGATACAATTTATAGGTGCAAATGCATTGGATTTACGTAGTGAAATGACGTAATGATTCTCAAGAATATATGTATGAATTAATATTTAAAACTTGAATTGGAAAGCTTGATTCCGAGTTTATCTCTTTTTGAGTGCTAAATTGAACTCTAAACATGTCATAATTCGCAATCGAGAGGTAACTAGAAACTGGTGTATAACTTGTGTGGATCAATCTAGGATTGACCTGAGATATTCAATACTTTTCAAATATATTTGTTCAAAAATCAAATGGAATTTCTCTGCCAAATATAGAGAAGGTTAGGAGATTTTTTGCTACAAAAGAGAATTATTTGGTGATCTATTATTAGGGTTTATGCCCAACTTTGTTGTAAAATGATGTAATTAGACCAATTGCACATGTTTTGAGAATAAAGTGATAGGAATGAAGCATCAAATTTTCTATAAAAAGCAAACAAAAGGGAATTTTTTTGTGATCATATTTCATAATCTATAGATAATGACCAGATGAATGCATCATAACCAAACCTAAGATAAGAATTAGTATACATAAAACTTACGTAGGGCAACGTTTATTGGTTCTTTATGCACGGAATGTGATACTGTTTCTATTGACAATCCTCTTTTTCCCCTCTTTAGATGGGATGACATATATATTCTAGTGTATGAAATTTTGCTATCTCTAGTAGGGTCTAGGTAAGGCGCATGTATCGGAAGTCTATTTGTATATGATTCAAACACGTAACGCGTATATCAACATTAAAATATCTTTTAAGTATTGCGCCGATGCGTATAGATGTATCCATTAAAATGGGGTGATCATTTGATTAGCAAAAAAAATTTGGTGTTTATTTACTTTCAGGCTACAATATTGCTTTTTTAAAACTTTCTCTTTGTTCCCCAAATCTCTTTCGTGGCTACCATTAGGGTGCATTGTGGAAACTGAAGAATGTGACACGATAGCCTAGCAAAACCAAGAGAAAAACGATACTATATTGTATCATAGTGACAGCATGTGTGTGAAAGCTTATACTATGAAAGCTTATGTAATGAGATGATTATACACACTCTCTCTCTCTCTCTTTCTCTCTCTCCCAAAGTTGGTGGGTAATACTAGAATTGGGTTTTCATCACCCATTTCTTGAGCTAACAATAATGTTATTTGAGTTTTTTTTTATTGACTTAATTCATTACAATTATTGAATTGAATGCGGGTTTCTACACATATTAAAGTCCACACTATCAATTTAATGATTATGAATGATTAGTTCAACAAATAACATCAATAAAATAGATTCAAGTAACATTGTTCGGGACTAAATATTGTTACTTGTAAAACTAGACAAACACAAGAATTGCAAAATGTGTAATGATGTAACTCCTCAAAGAAGGCATGCAAGTGGCCAGACCTGTTACAGAGTATTTCTGTGTTTTTTTTTTTTGGTTACATGAAGCGGTTTACAACTCGTCCCTATTACCATTTGAATTATCTATTGAGGTCAGATAATGAGATATTTATTTTTTATAAATACTCTAACGCTAGCGTGGATGGTCTGCATTTGATTGGATAAAAAAAAAAATTAATCGAGGTGACGTAAGTTGGTCTAAACACTCTTAACCATTTAATAAAAAAAAAAAAAAAAAGGCTACACTTTCGACGATTTTAAGCAAGAATTTGTTACATTTGACTGGAAACTAAGGATGTGTGTGGTTGTGCGTCATTACTTCATCAAGTATATTAATAGGAAGTCCTACAACAAGTGAAGCGCATCTGGTGTAGTGGTATCATAGTACCCTCCCACGGTACTGACCAGGGTTCGATTCCCTGGATGCGCATTTATAATTGTTTTATTTGCAAATATTTACTGAATTATTAAAAAAAAAATGCCATCNAAACAAATCTTTGAACTGTTCTTTGTGTTTGGTATAAACATGTAGAACGTGCACATATACCTTTGGGAATAACATGAACATTTCGTTTGCAATGCATATCAGAAACATCTATCAAGCAAAATCAAGCATCTAAGAATCATAGCAAGTTTTTCTTTCCTTGGTGTCACTTCTAACGACTCCCAACGTACGATTTTCGTACAAAACAAATCTTCGAATTGTTCTTTATGCTTTGTAAGGTTTCAATGTATATCTACATAATGTCATATCAAAATGAATTCACCTCGTACCTCTACTTGTGTAGTTGAATTTATATCAGATATAAGTCATATTTAAACAGGTTCATGCTCNGAAAATAAAATAAAAAAATTAAGAATTATTTTTTTAAAACATTAATCAGAATATACTAAAATATCTTCAAATACCTTGAAATATTCTGAAACAACTATGCAAATGTATTGAAACATTAAAAAAACACTTCATATGGAATACCTCGAAATATTAAAATTTCAATTTCATCACTGATTTGTTTCCGTCTCTTCAAAATTCCTCCACAAGCATAAGAGGAGAATGTCTCGGGATATATAATAATACTATTTAGACTTAAAAATCTGACATAATTTGTTAACATAATGATGTAATTTTACAGGTATCATTGTATCAACACCAAATTCTAATGTTTGATGAGATGTACGGTAAATCTAAAGATCACAATAAATTAAATCAATAAATTATGTCAATAAATTAGGATATAATATGCTACTTGCATAGAGACAAATGCGACCAAAAATAAAGGACTAAAAACTTCAGCACATTAGCCACGAGGACAAAAAGACCCTAAAAATGACAACAGATTCAGCCATCCATAGACCACATCAAGAATGCAACTGCATGCAGCTAGGACTTCAACTGCTACTCAGATGACCAGCTGCCTCATATGATAGAATTGCAATGTGGGCAGGAAAGGAAAATGATTAACCAGAAGATAAAATGATACTTCCAATCACAAAAATTTGATTTGATGAACAGTAAACCCCAATGAGCTTCCATCGACAAGCCCTTGACTAAGAACAGCCAACTAGAAAGGTACTGGGAATCATACCGAATTGGAACAACCATGGTCAATTGGTCACTGAAGACGACAGACACACCATTGCCAATGAACAAGGCAGCACCAGTAATAGATACTAAGGATTCGTTTGTTTATCGGGGNAAAGGTACTGGGAATCATACCGAATTGGAACAACCATGGTCAATTGGTCACTGAAGACGACAGACACACCATTTCCAATGAACAAGGCAGCACCAGTAATAGATACTAAGGATTCGTTTGTTTATCGGAGGAATGATAGAAAATGCAAGAAAGAGAATTTTTTTTAAATTTTCATGTGTTTGGTTAGCATAAAAAGAAAAATGATCGAAAAAATAATTTCCTTTCATGCTTCAATTTTCTCACAAATAACTAACTTTTTTTCTTGTAAAAAACACAAGGAAATGCAAGAAAGTTATGATTTATAACTAACTTCCTATTTTATCCTTATTTTTTTTTANATTTCCTTTCATGCTTCAATTTTCTCACAAATAACTAACTTTTTTTCTTGTAAAAAGCACAAGGAAATGCAAGAAAGTTATGATTTATAACTAACTTCCTATTTTATCCTTATTTTTTTTAAAATATTTTATTGATTATAAATTTTAAAAAATTTTGGTATGAATTTGATTAATCATATAATTTGGCCCAAAAACCTTTGCATTGATGATTGTCTTAAGAGTTTCGAGCCATTTTTTAATATTTTTTAACTTTCAATTATAATTACATATTTTTTAGACCAATTTAATATAATTAAGGATAATTTAGATAATTACAAAAAAAATCTTATAATTTTTCTTTTTTTGAAACAATAGAATGAATTTTTTTTACAACTTCCGGTAAATTTTTTCATTCTAACTAAATACATGTATGAAAATATATTTTATATCATTTTCTTTTCTTTTACTTCACTTTTTATTATTTTCACTTTCTATTATTTTTTTATTCGTAACTAAACGGACCCTAAGGGTGTGTTTGAGTAGTGGGTTAAGGTGAGTTAATCTCCATAAGGATATGATAATAAGGTAATGGGTCTCACAAAACCTTTGTTTGGGAAGCAAAAAAATAGCCAGGATATAAATCCCGGGTCTATCCTTGACTCGGGTGCTACAATAATTTTTAACCCTGCTACATGGGTTAAAATTAACCCACCTCCCCCATGGGTTTCAATCCCAACCGATTGGTTATGAAGGGGTAATGACATATTTACCCACCTCTCCTGAAAGCTCTTTGTCTTGCTTTGTAAAAGCAACGAATCCTATATCTCGTCTCTCTCTCTCTCTCTCTTTGTGAAGGAGACGAAGCTGAAGCCTAGCAGTTCTGTTGGGATAGATTTGGGTGCCTGAGTGGATTGAATGAAGAAGAGAACTTCACCTGCACCACCCCTAACCTCGATCGTTCACAGTCACCCGCACCACCACGATGGTGGATGATTTTGAACCCTAATTTCTCTATCTCTCAAATTTGAAATGTGATGGTGGGTGTTTTTGACCCTAAGTCTCCTCTATTTCTCAAATTTGAATCATTTTTGTAGTGATGGTGGTGAGTGTTTCTATGGTGGTTTTGTTGTGGCGGTGGTGGAGGTGGTGGTCTTCGGTGTTTTTGTTGTGGCGTGGTGGGGATTACTCATGTGGTGGTGGTGGGTATTCTCTGTCTATGCAAAACTTCTCCAATTTTTTGGTGTTTTATGGTCTTCATATCAATGGGTACACTGGTAAATGTCTATAAAAGTTAAGGGAAAGTCCATCCAATTCAATTGTTCTTGCCAAACAATGGCTTGGGTTGGATGACATACATAACCCATCCAATTAAGTGTCTGAGTGGGTTTAGGTGAGATAGGTTAAGATACAAAAAATCCTATCCATTCCTATCCATGCCGATTATCCAAACACACCCTAAGAGAAATACTTCCTAGTTAGCTCTACTTAGCCCACGGAATTGTCTATGGAAGCGCACTGCAGGTGACATTTGATACGTTAACGTCGACAAACTGGATATATAAAGCTTGACCAATGTTTGAATGGGAGAAAACATACAAAGGCTGTGGGAAACCAAGGTAAACCATAGTGTTACTGGCTCTTAGTGTAGCAAGTATTCTGTCTTATAGATAGTAGTTTTAGTGAAGATTGATGAAGGGCAACAGAAGCATGAGTCAAGTTGTTACCGTTTAGATTGATATTGGTAAAGAGCACAGTGATATTGGGTGAAGCATGAGAGAGATTCTTCGCATGATTGTAGACGTAACCTGGAGATAACCCATTTGAACCATCAAACTGAAGGAAGTTTTTTTAGTGAATAAGCTGCAGGCGTAATCTGTATACATTTCCACCAGAACAACTGAATATTCACCTAATTTTACATTGCACACAATATATTACAATGAGATGAGATTGCAGAAGGAATAGGGGAGGAGGAGATAGAAGACTACGTTGTCCCATTTATGACAACTTCCCATTGCAGAGTTGAGAAAAGGAAGAGAATAAATCTAATAATAACAAACTCTATGTTTCTGAAGCAAAAAGCACCTCGCAACAATCCACCACCCAATTCATAACTATAATCAATAATATTTGAGCAAAGACTAATCAATGGATAAAAAAATATTTATCCAAATTATCACATGCATACTATAAATCAGTGAAAGTTCCATTTCTTATAGGATAAATATGGCATTCATAATAAAAAGCAGTGAATAATGATTTCGCAAAACTAAACTCACAATCATAACAAAGTTACAAACTCCAAATTAATGCCCAAGCCAACCCCAACTTGCCATAATCTCCCAAAACTACTTTCTGAACATCCAATTAAACTTCAAAGCTCATCCTCCATTCTCAAATACTCCCCAATATCCGCCTGGTGCAGCACAACGATCCCATTGGGATCCATCTTCCTACAATTCTGCGTAGTCGTCGCTGCAATTCCAAACCCCAGCGGCACATCCGACATTGAAAACACCACCACCCCATCACCAGCCACAATGTTCTCAGTAATTCTCCCTAACCCACCTACAAACATACAATATATCCAGTAAAAAGAGATTTCACGACCCAATTATATGCAATTTATCACAAAAGCAAATTAAAAATTACAAGCTAAGGTTGAAGAAATTCCTCCTCAACCCACCTTTTAACACATGGTTTCCATACAAAAACGACATCTCTGAAGTGGGTTTTAGCCAGACTTTGTGTTTGGCATTGGAAGCNGAAGGAATAGGGGAGGAGGAGATAGAAGACTACGTTGTCCCATTTATGACAACTTCCCATTGCAGAGTTGAGAAAAGGAAGAGAATAAATCTAATAATAACAAACTCTATGTTTCTGAAGCAAAAAGCACCTCGCAACAATCCAATAGATTCAAGCACTGTATGGTCAAATGGAAGCTACCACCTTTTGTGAATTTGCCAATGCTTGTGCCCAAAGAGACCAAGTTGTTTCGTTTGATCTTTGTGGCTCGCTTGACTAGAGATTCACTCACATAGTAGACTCTGTTCTTTTGCAAACGAAAGCAATATCGACCTTGGTTTGGTTCAGGGCCTTCGTGAGATGGGTTTTCGAAGATGTTTTTGAGGTTGTTACCTGTAAATTTGAACAACTTCTCGAAGACTTGGGTGGTTTCGTTCGCGTCGAGAGGCCGCATCTTTATTCTGCANTGATAAGGTTGACATTCTTGAGGTCTTTCGCTGAAATATTGTTGATTTCTAAGGTACGACACTCCATTTTTTGATCTGAAATTCGAGAAGAGACAGAGAGAGAGANTGATAAGGTTGACATTCTTGAGGTCTTTCGCTGAAATATTGTTGATTTCTAAGGTAAGACACTCCATTTTTTGATCTGAAATTCGAGAAGAGACAGAGAGAGACANACGAAAGCAATATCGACCTTGGTTTGGTTCAGGGCCTTCGTGAGATGGGTTTTCGACGATGTTTTTGAGGTTGTTACCTGTAAATTTGAACAACTACTCGAAGACTTGGGTGGTTTCGTTCGCGTCGAGAGGCCGCATCTTTATCCTGCAAGAATCAAGCTTTAGCTATCAATCAACCCNTTTTTTGATCTGAAATTCGAGAAGAGACAGAGAGAGAGAGATGGAGAGGCCAAGCTTTTCAGCCAACAACCCACCACCAATTTATCATCTTGGGGACTTGCTCAGGTCAACGCTTAGAAGTTGAGACCTGACCTGGGATGAGAAGTAACCATGGTTAGGTTAATAATTGGAGAAATTGCTAAAATGTTTTAATCATGGCTAAGATTCTTCCAGTTGACGTTTGAATAAGAGAGAAGACTACGTTTTTAAAAAAAAATTGGCATCATACTTTTAAATTTTNTCTCTCTCTCTCTCTCTCTCTATCTGGGCCTCTGGCGCTTTTCTCCCTCTCTCTCTAAAACCCTACAACTCTGCTAGGGTTTCTGTGTACGTTTCGTCTTCTCTCTCTCTTCCTCTCTCTTTGTTGTTGATATTTGGAGAATAAAAGCAGTTGGGGGTAACGGTCTGTGGCGGGCCATACCGGATCAGACTTTTTGGCCCCCCAGCATTCAGGGTCGGGCTAGACAGCATTGGACCAGTCATCGGGGCCAAGATTGGGCCAGCCCGTTAGAAATATATCCACACTCAGTCTTTTTGGGCCCAAGCAATCAGGGTCGGGCTACANAAAAAAATATACAACTTTATGGGTAATTTATAATTTTTTGTAGGTATTTTATAATTTTTATGAATATTTTTACAACTTTTGTGATACTTCACGATCAATCCTAATTTTTGTTGTATTTTGTGATCGANTTGGGCCCAAGCAATCAGGGTCGGGCTACATAGCTTTTCACCAGTCATCGGGCCAAGCTTCGGCCAACCTGTTATAAGAGAGTGAGATCTCCTCTAATAATTGATGTATTTACGGAATCCGTCTCAAAAGTCTAATACCATTGATGTCCAATAACTTTGATAGTAATGTCTCAAAAGTCTAATACCATTGATGTCCAATAACTTTGATAGTAATGGCTGGATCTACGACTTCCTCATCCATTGAGTATTAGCATTATAGGTGGTCAGAAGATTGCCACCGGCGTGGAAAATTAAGGTTTTTATCTTTTGAGCAAATGACTCAAGACAATTGGTAGAATCCCGTGAAACCATTTCATAATTTTCTTATTGATAGATCACCAACCATACACCAAGTGGGTCCCCTAGTAAATGATCCGTAAAGAATAAAATTAAAAAAGGAAAATGTATTGGAAGTGATATTTCTTTATTAAAAAGAAAAAAAAAAATTGGGCTATAGAGCCACCTGGCTATTGGAGTAACGGCGCATGGCACTACTTGTCTGGCTAATGTGCTACCCACAGGCTATCACATACAGATCAGGCTGCCGATGGCACTAGTCTTGGTTGGAATGAGAGTGAAAAAGTTAGAGAGAAAACTTAAAAAAATAATATTAAAAAGAAAATGGAACACACTAAGAGTGTTAATTACGTATCACAATAAAAAATCGTACGAAATTAACAGATTACATAATAGTGATTACCCCTTGTTTGACTTTAAGACTACGAATGCAATTCAAATTTTGTCGTCCGTGCCCAGTGTCTTATCAGCAGCTGGTTCTTGGTTGTGGTTTTTGCGTTGTTAAGGCTGGCTGTTGTTACCAAGCAACTTCATAGAGATTGGACGTGTGAAAGAAAGAATATGGATAAGAAGGAAGGAAGGAAACCTTCTTGTTCTTGAATATGCATGCCATTGATGTTAGTGTGGGTGGTGGGTTCAGGCCATTGTTATACACGCCAAGGACTGACTACTTAGATGTTGCGTAGACAAGTCTTTATGTGGTGGTGACCAATTTCACTAATTTCTGCCTCAATTTATATTATTACTAATTTAATATATTAACGTAGTAATGTGTTAGATAGTATAGTCCTGCTAACTGGCACGGAGATCGAACCATTAGATCCAATGGTTGTCTATACCTATCTGTTCTGTTGCCTTTTGAGTTAGAGCGTCATCAACCTTGATTCCATTCAATCCACAATCCACACCTTTCTACAAACATTACGAATTCCATTCAAGCATGTGATTTGTAAGTTATAAAAAAATGTTGCATAACATGTGTTGATTCTAATTTTGACTTGCTACTTCAAACGAGAAAATATTACAACTCCAAAAGTAATTACCATCATACATTCCAAACAACCCAAAACAAAAAAAAAAAAATATATATATATATATATATAACATGGTCAAAACCCACCGTCACCAAATCCTCCATCAAAACCACCATCATACCCACCGTCATACGCGGCATCGGACACCATATCTCCGATCAACATCCCACCAAGCGCTCCTCCGAGCAATCCTGCCCCCAATCCTAACCCGAATTTATTCTTCTTCGGCGGTTGTTGTACCGGTGGGTACCCACTATACCCCACTTGCGGTGGTGGGTACCCATAACCCGGTGGCGGTGGTTGTGGTGGATATCCGCCATATACAGGTGGTGGATATCCACCATAGCCAGCCACCTGGGGAGGAGGAGGAGGAGGATAATATCCTCTAGGTGGTGGATACGGATTAGGAGGATATGCATGTCCTTCAGGTGGTGGATACCCAGCTCCTGCCGCATACGATGGCGGAGGTGGCGGGCCGTATCCTGAACTGGGCCCCACCACCGGAGGTGCGGGATAAGCGGTGACAGGCTCATCAGCCTTATGTGCCACCGGTAAAGCTGGCCCGGCGGCTTTTTCTCCGAACTTGTAAGAGAAATTCAATTCACCTTTGGGTTTGCCAGATGGTTTTCTCACTTGATAACTGACAAACTGCTGTTTACCATCTCTGGCGGAGTCGAGCAGCTCTTTGAGAGGAACGTGCACTTCTCCGACGTCTTTGTCGCCGAGCATGGCCTCACATCGGATCTTGAACTCGAGACTCAGAATGTTCTGACGGAGTGTAGACTCCGGTACGGTGAACTTTATGGCTATGTTCCAGGTGGGGTTGGTGTTTCCGTTTCTGTCCACGGCGGTCTTCGTCTTCTGCCTGATCTTCTTGTCGCCGCCGGTGATCGAAACTACCGCATACACGTCCATCTTGGTGATAAGGTTGACATTCTTGAGGTCTTTCGCTGAAATATTGTTGATTTCTAAGGTACGACACTCCATTTTTTGATCTGAAATTCGAGAAGAGACAGAGAGAGAGAGATGGAGAGGCCAAGCTTTTCAGCCAACAACCCACCACCAATTTATCATCTTGGGGACTTGCTCAGGTCAACGCTTAGAAGTTGAGACCTGACCTGGGATGAGAAGTAACCATGGTTAGGTTAATAATTGGAGAAATTGCTAAAATGTTTTAATCATGGCTAAGATTCTTCCAGTTGACGTTTGAATAAGAGAGAAGACTACGTTTTTAAAAAAAAATTGGCATCATACTTTTAAATTTTATAATTTTAATAAGTATTTTTATTACTTTTGTAAATTATTTTACAACAAAAAAATATACAACTTTATGGGTAATTTATAATTTTTTGTAGGTATTTTATAATTTTTATGAATATTTTTACAACTTTTGTGATACTTCACGATCAATCCTAATTTTTGTTGTATTTTGTGATCGATCATAAAATGTGAGTATTTTTATTATTTTTGTGATGCTTTGCGATGTCAGGATCAATCGCAAAGTATCACAAAAGTGATACAAATAAGTACTAGAAAAGTGATAAAAAAATCAATAAAATTTATATTGGTACAATAATATATATATATATATATTTTTTTTTGTTGATACCGTAGACTACTCTTTGAATAAGTCTATGAAAATGGAATNAGGTATTTTATAATTTTTATGAATATTTTTACAACTTTTGTGATACTTCACGATCAATCCTAATTTTTGTTGTATTTTGTGATCGATCATAAAATGTGAGTATTTTTATTATTTTTGTGATGCTTTGCGATGTCAGGATCGATAGCAAAGTATCACAAAAATNGATCATAAAATGTGAGTATTTTTATTATTTTTGTGATGCTTTGCGATGTCAGGATCAATCGCAAAGTATCACAAAAGTGATACAAATAAGTACTAGAAAAGTGATAAAAAAATCAATAAAATTTATATTGGTACAATAATATATATATATATATATATATTTTTGTTGATACCGTAGACTACTCTTGAATAAGTCTATGAAAATGGAGTNAAATTAACAGATTACATAATAGTGATTACCCCTTGTTTGACTTTAAGACTACGAATGCAATTCAAATTTTGTCGTCCGTGCCCAGTGTCTTATCAGCAGCTGGTTCTTGGTTGTGGTTTTTGCGTTGTTAAGGCTGGCTGTTGTTACCAAGCAACTTCATAGAGATTGGACGTGTGAAAGAAAGAATATGGATAAGAAGGAAGGAAGGAAACCTTCTTGTTCTTGAATATGCCATTGATGTTAGTGTGGGTGGTGGGTTCAGGCCATTGTTGTTATACACGCCAAGGACTGACTACTTAGATGTTGCGTAGACAAGTCTTTATGTGGTGGTGACCAATTTCACTAATTTCTGCCTCAAATTTATATTATTAAAAATTTAATATATTAATTAACGTAGTAATGTGTTAGATAGTATAGTCCTCCTAACTGGCACGGAGATCGAACCATTAGATCCAATGGTTGTCTATACCTATCTGTTCTGTTGCCTTTTGAGTTAGAGAGAGCGTCATCAACCTTGATTCCATTCAATCCACAATCCACACCTTTCTACAAACATTACGAATTCCATTCAAGCATGTGATTTGTAAGTTATAAAAAAATGTTGCATAACATGTGTTGATTCTAATTTTGACTTGCTACTTCAAACGAGAAAATATTACAACTCCAAAAGTAATTACCATCATACATTCCAAACAACCCAAAACAAAATATATATATATATATATATATATAAATATAACATGGTCAAAACCCACCGTCACCAAATCCTCCATCAAAACCACCATCATACCCACCGTCATACGCGGCATCGGACACCATATCTCCGATCAACATCCCACCAAGCGCTCCTCCGAGCAATCCTGCCCCCAATCCTAACCCGAATTTATTCTTCTTCGGCGGTTGTTGTACCGGTGGGTACCCACTATACCCCACTTGCGGTGGTGGGTACCCATNAAAAAAATATACAACTTTATGGGTAATTTATAATTTTTTGTAGGTATTTTATAATTTTTATGAATATTTTTACAACTTTTGTGATACTTCACGATCAATCCTAATTTTTGTTGTATTTTGTGATCGATCATAAAATGTGAGTATTTTTATTATTTTTGTGATGCTTTGCGATGTCAGGATCAATCGCAAAGTATCACAAAAGTGATACAAATAAGTACTAGAAAAGTGATAAAAAAATCAATAAAATTTATATTGGTACAATAATATATATATATATATATTTTTTTTTGTTGATACCGTAGACTACTCTTTGAATAAGTCTATGAAAATGGAGTCTTCCATTAAATTAGGTATGGTGAGGAAGCCAATTGGTTACCTGTCAAGAATTGATTCCCATTTTATAAAGCTATTGATTTTTCAAACTTGGACTTTAGATAACAAAATACATTAAGAATCTTCCAGTTGGGTGTAATTTTACACTTCAATTCATGAGTTGTTTATATACAATTTAAACTAATTTATAAATAATTATAAAAAATTTGAGATTTAAATTACAGTCGTATGTGAAAGATAGTTGGAACTATTTTCCTCTTGAAAGAACAAAATCATTTTAGCATACAATAATCAGACAGACAATGAGAATATACTAATTAAATTCAACTATGTCATCAAGCAGACTGCNGTTGCGTAGACAAGTCTTTATGTGGTGGTGACCAATTTCACTAATTTCTGCCTCAAATTTATATTATTAAAAATTTAATATATTAATTAACGTAGTAATGTGTTAGATAGTATAGTCCTCCTAACTGGCACGGAGATCGAACCATTAGATCCAATGGTTGTCTATACCTATCTGTTCTGTTGCCTTTTGAGTTAGAGAGAGCGTCATCAACCTTGATTCCATTCAATCCACAATCCACACCTTTCTACAAACATTACGAATTCCATTCAAGCATGTGATTTGTAAGTTATAAAAAAATGTTGCATAACATGTGTTGATTCTAATTTTGACTTGCTACTTCAAACGAGAAAATATTACAACTCCAAAAGTAATTACCATCATACATTCCAAACAACCCAAAACAAAATATATATATATATATATATATAAATATAACATGGTCAAAACCCACCGTCACCAAATCCTCCATCAAAACCACCATCATACCCACCGTCATACGCGGCATCGGACACCATATCTCCGATCAACATCCCACCAAGCGCTCCTCCGAGCAATCCTGCCCCCAATCCTAACCCGAATTTATTCTTCTTCGGCGGTTGTTGTACCGGTGGGTACCCACTATACCCCACTTGCGGTGGTGGGTACCCATAACCCGGTGGCGGTGGTTGTGGTGGATATCCGCCATATACAGGTGGTGGATATCCACCATAGCCAGCCACCTGGGGAGGAGGAGGAGGAGGATAATATCCTCTAGGTGGTGGATACGGATTAGGAGGATATGCATGTCCTTCAGGTGGTGGATACCCAGCTCCTGCCGCATACGATGGCGGAGGTGGCGGGCCGTATCCTGAACTGGGCCCCACCACCGGAGGTGCGGGATAAGCGGTGACAGGCTCATCAGCCTTATGTGCCACCGGTAAAGCTGGCCCGGCGGCTTTTTCTCCGAACTTGTAAGAGAAATTCAATTCACCTTTGGGTTTGCCAGATGGTTTTCTCACTTGATAACTGACAAACTGCTGTTTACCATCTCTGGCGGAGTCGAGCAGCTCTTTGAGAGGAACGTGCACTTCTCCGACGTCTTTGTCGCCTAGCATGGCCTCACATCGGATCTTGAACTCGAGACTCAGAATGTTCTGACGGAGTGTAGACTCCGGTACGGTGAACTTTATGGCTGTGTTCCAGGTGGGGTTGGTGTTTCCGTTTCTGTCCACGGCGGTCTTCGTCTTCTGCCTGATCTTCTTGTCGCCGCCGGTGATCGAAACTACCGCATACACGTCCATCTTGGTGATAAGGTTGACATTCTTGAGGTCTTTCGCTGAAATATTGTTGATTTCTAAGGTACGACACTCCATTTTTTGATCTGAAATTCGAGAAGAGACAGAGAGAGAGAGATGGAGAGGCCAAGCTTTTCAGCCAACAACCCACCACCAATTTATCATCTTGGGGACTTGCTCAGGTCAACGCTTAGAAGTTGAGACCTGACCTGGGATGAGAAGTAACCATGGTTAGGTTAATAATTGGAGAAATTGCTAAAATGTTTTAATCATGTCTAAGATTCTTCCAGTTGACGTTTGAATAAGAGAGAAGACTACGTTTTTAAAAAAAAATTGGCATCATACTTTTAAATTTTATAATTTTAATAAGTATTTTTATTACTTTTGTAAATTATTTTACAACAAAAAAATATACAACTTTATGGGTAATTTATAATTTTTTGTAGGTATTTTATAATTTTTATGAATATTTTTACAACTTTTGTGATACTTCACGATCAATCCTAATTTTTGTTGTATTTTGTGATCGATCATAAAATGTGAGTATTTTTATTATTTTTGTGATGCTTTGCGATGTCAGGATCAATCGCAAAGTATCACAAAAGTGATACAAATAAGTACTAGAAAAGTGATAAAAAAATCAATAAAATTTATATTGGTACAATAATATATATATATATATATTTTTTTTTGTTGATACCGTAGACTACTCTTTGAATAAGTCTATGAAAATGGAGTCTTCCATTAAATTAGGTATGGTGAGGAAGCCAATTGGTTACCTGTCAAGAATTGATTCCCATTTTATAAAGCTATTGATTTTTCAAACTTGGACTTTAGATAACAAAATACATTAAGAATCTTCCAGTTGGGTGTAATTTTACACTTCAATTCATGAGTTGTTTATATACAATTTAAACTAATTTATAAATAATTATAAAAAATTTGAGATTTAAATTACGGTCGTATGAGCGTATGTGAAAGATGGTCGGAACTATTTTCCTCTTGAAAGAACAAAATCATTTTAGCATACAATAATCAGACAATGAGAATATACTAATTAAATTCAACTATGTCATCAAGCAGACTGCGAGCTTTAGCTAAGTATAAAAATAAAATGATTGAATCCGAGTGATGTAATTATTCATTTTGGGTTTATTTTAGAGTAACAAATACCATTTAAATTTTGATTCAAATTCAAATCTCCATCCAAATTTTCTACTATAGATTGGGAATGATCAAAGATAGTTCGTATTGAACTCCCCTTTTACTTTTCACATTACTTTTGTCAATCAACATAATCGACCACTGTCCTGACTTTTGACCATACCGCGTGCCAATAAATTGTGTATTTACTCCAAAGAAAAATTATATTTTTTAATTTAAGCTCTNATTGAATCCGAGTGATGTAATTATTCATTTTGGGTTTATTTTAGAGTAACAAATACTATTTAAATTTCGATTCAAATTCAAATCTCCATCCAAATTTTCTACTATAGATTGGGAATGATCAAAGATTGTTGGTATTGAACTCCCCTTTTACTTTTCACATTACTTTTGTCAATCAACATAATCGACCACTGTCCTGACTTTTGACCATACCGCGTGCCAATAAAAGATTGAATTTTTTTTATTGCACTTGCACCCCCAATTAAAAAAATAATAACAATGAGCTCTATATTTAGAAAATTTAGTACAGAATTTTATGTAAAATACCTAAAATCGAGTAGTATGCAAACAATTATCCTTNTGCCAATAAAAGATTGAATTTTTTTTATTGCACTTGCACCCCCAATTAAAAAAATAATAACAATGAGCTCTATATTTAGAAAATTTAGAACAGAATTTTATGTAAAATACCTAAAATCGAGTAGTATGCAAACAATTATCCTTTCGGAGACCAAAGAAATAGGACCATTGAGGCCTAACTTTTGGTAAAGAAAAACGTTCTAAGTCATTAATAAGAACACTTGCTATCCATAAAAAAATAAATGCTACACAATTTAAATGAAACTCAAAAAATTACAACCCAAATGTATATCATTCCTCGAACANATTGAGGCCTAACTTTTGGTAAAGAAAAACGTTCTAAGTCATTAATAAGAACACTTGCTATCCATAAAAAAATTAATGCTACACAATTTAAATGAAACTCAAAAAATTACAACCCAAATGTATATCATTCCTCGAACAAGCGAATCTCATTAACTTTTTCAGTGAGATTTAACACTCATCCAATGGATAATATGCATTTAGATTATAAGTTTTGAATTTCATTTGAATTGTTTAATATTTTTCTCGTGAAAAAACCACGCTTGAGCCAAAGTGTCGTAGCATATAAAAATAATATAATATAGCAAATACAACAAAAAAAAATCGTCAAGAAAAACAACGGACATTTAATTTTGGACTAAATTGTTACCTATTTATCTAATTGGAGGTGTAATGTGAAAATTTTAATCTTTTGGGGTATAACTTTTAGGGTGCAAAGCGTTATTCATCCTTTTCCCAAATGAGCAGGGAGATGAAAAAAGGAACCCTTGAGGCTCAGTTAGGCTCAATGACATAACCATCAGTACAAATCATAGACCCAGAGGTTGTTACAATCCCAAACATACCTACCCAATTGTGAATGGAAGCAGTAGAAATTTAACATGACCAAATTCCAAACAGAAAAACCTAATAATAGACTTTTCATGGCTTCTTTACAAGTCTCTACATTAAATAAGCATAATCACATGTATGAAGTCACTAGCAGGCACTAGAAGCACTATGCCAACAACCAACACCAATATAAATAAGGCAGAAAGTTGTCCCTATGTTCCTTTTCCTCTCCACAACATATACTCTTTGTTGGAGTTAGTTACAACTTTTTGGGTGTTCATGATCAACGGAAATTTATGATCGATCATAAACACTCTGATGGATTGTAACTAATCTCCAAAAAATTGTAACTTGAGCCCAAAAGTTAACAGTTTTTTGAGAATCAATCCTCCTAATTTCTTGCATTGTAACCTGATCTTAAAAAGTTGTATTTTGAACCAAAAAGATGATAAACATTAGTACCATACCTTCTTCGATATCAAATCCTTAAGCTGCAGGTTCTTGACTCTTATACTTCAGACCCTCTGAGAGGCTTAACTTTCTGTGTTGTAAAGTACCAAATATATACCCCCTTACACTGAGTAATCCCAAATTGCAAGCAGCTCCTAAAAAGAGTCCCTGGCATATGCACATAGGTTAATCCAGAGGCAGAGGGTGGAACTGTAGTTGTGCTCATCAGAATACAACCATTTAACATAAGTTTACTATGTGATAAGCAACAGTTCAAGAACACACTTGCAGATGCATTGATGTGGGCTGAATAAACCATACTGGATATTTTCTTCAATTTGAAGAGGGATGTCGTTATTCATCTACCACATTCCCAAAGAAACAGTGCACATGAACAGAACTGACAGAAAATACGTAAAAGCGAATTAAAAAATCAAAAATAAATAATCATGCCTCCCCAGAGCAGTTTATTCCCATGATAGATCTTATGGGGAAAAAAACACAGTATTTCATGCTTCTCAAGACTAAATCAGTCGAAAAAAACACAGTATTTCATGCTTCTCAAGACCAAATCAGTCTTACTGTCAGTTTTGCTTTCTCCCCATTATGTGTCTTGCTAATAAAAAAAAAAAATTGTCAGCATTTGAGAAGATGGAAAAGAGCACACATAACATGCAAAACTGGCCCCCCTAAACCAAGACCTGGATATTTTGCCTCTCATCTACGACCTTTTGTTTGAATCTGCCAACTCTAACATCGACCATATCACTCTGATAACCTAAATTACACCATCTCCAATCAAACGTAGAGCTCACGTTTTAGAACAAATATTTGAGCTTATTATGAAACCCTCATATCAGCATTGGCACCAAACCAAGCAAATCATGACGATTATTATCGTCATTTAAGGGAACTATAGTTCCATTAAGGTCAAAACTCAAAAGCCACTAGAAAATCCCAAATCTGAATTCATATATGGAAATTGACTTGATAGCATCTCCATAGGAAAATGCATATATCATCATTAGCACAAGCAATATAGAAACCTAAATCCATATTAAACAAAAGGTTTCATTAGCCAGTTTGGTCCCTCTTAATCCTAGGCCTGGGGAGTGGACTAGATACAAACCTAAAATGCAAAGTGTCTGCCCTCATTTTCAAACCTATAACCTCGCGGGTGTTAGCCCGACACTGTCCCCATTGCACCAAGCAATAGTCCTACTAAATCGATATCAAATCCTCCTTTAAAATGTCTTCCATTTGATACTTACTATTGATCTAATTTTTTTAAGGCACAATATGTGTGGGGAAAAAACAGAAATGAAACAAATGAAAAATGTAAGCATTGTATGGCATTTGGTAAGAAGAAAATTCAGTTTCTGCTTTATTCAAAATATAGTTTGACATTTGGAACAGGGAACAGAGAGGGGGGAGAGGGAAAAAATAATTGGCTTGGTTGCTTTCATATTGCCCAGTCTATTCTACAAAACTGACGTATTTGATTCAATGCAAATGAAATACTAAACAGGAAATCGCGAAAATGTCTACAGCTTTCAATCAACAAAATGCCTTACCTTTATCTAGAAATTTTAAACCATGGGATTTTGGTTTCCCAGACAAACTAGCCCTACAAGATCCTCCAGTATGGGCTGAAGACAACCATGTCTGAAAATCAGCAAAGGCCTAGCTTCTTTCTGGGTTTCAGAAAACTTGGATGGAACACCACGTCCTTCAGGAGCTTCAGCAATCTTAGATGGAAACCCCAATGGAGATGCGAACAATAACCAAATGATCTCTATAAAAGCAAGAAGAGAATAAAAATGAGATGTACTCAATTAACAAGAGGCGAAGTTCTAGGTGGTGAGATACACAAAATACGATGAACAATTGCATAAGAAATAAAGAAATGACTTAAATAGATATTGTTGCTATATAAACTCAACTCATTTGGGAAAAAAAAATCTTTGGCCCTCAAGTTTTTGGTCAGGTAAAGAGTCCCCTTTGGTCAATTTGCCATCTCATATTATACATTCTGCTGAACTGTTCAGCAACTAATCAGAATTTTAAGGTTTCATGCTTTACCCAAAAAATAAAAGAATGAGAAATTTGGATTCACAGTTGCAGAAATCTAACAAAACGTCTATACACAGTGCACAAGGCTCCCACTTACAGGGGTGTTTGGGAGAGATAAGTGGTGGCCGGTCTTTGCCCCATGTTGGAGAGCTTGATTTCGCTGCTCAAACCCACCATGCAACACTGCGGTGGACCTTAATGTAATGTGAAGCAGGATAATCTTGTTAGCTAGTACAGGTGATGGAAGTGTTGTGACCATCCAGGTCATTTTATGGCACGTGGTGAATGAGAGCAGCAATGTGGCATATTGGGATTCTTGGCATTGCCAACCCTAGCTTAGGCAAGCAAACATTACAATAAAGGGTTATTCAGTTGCAAGAATGTGCATCAACATAGCTCATAAGCATCACCTTCTTTAAATCAATGGATAAAACATGTATCCCCATAATATGATCATGATGATAGCAAACTATCTCCTATAGAAGTCCTTAAAATGGTACCAATGAAGAATCAAGCACCGTGAAAGGTATCCATTAACAGGATTAAAACCTGATAGGGGTTTACTGTGGTGATAAGCTCTTCAATTCAACAAAAGTACTTCTGAAAGTCACCAATATATGTGAAAAACTGCAAAAATAGAAATCCCCCTGATAGGAATTCCATAATAATATACTCAAGGAGGAAGTAGAGACTCAGAATTTTGTTGAGAACAGCAGGTTTTGTGCTAAGATAAGGTGAAGCAAAGAGTAGGAATGAAAAAGAAGCAAGGAATCTTGAAGCAAAAATAAATTATACTTGCTGCCTTATATCTGTAGACAGTCAAACAATCATTGTCACACAGACACTACAGGCAGGCTAAGAAGTCATATGCACATAGATTGCCTCCATCCATTGAAGCCTCTATTAATGTTTAAGGAAACTGCAAACAAAACTCAGAACAGAATTGAAATTTTAATATTTCACACAAGTACAAGTCTTTGTCAAAGTTCTCAATGAACTCCAAATAAAGGATTTGAGTGGCGTAGCATCTGACTTTTGTTTACATGAGTAACGTAAAGTAATGCACAAAATTTTATTTAAGGAACGATTACAAAAGGAATCCCAACAAACAAGCCAGAAAATTTTCCAAAAATATTGCAAGAGAAGTACTGATTAATACCTTGAACTGACGATATTCCCTGTTCACTTGAAACCGCCATGGACTTTTCAAGCTGTCTAGATTGCACTCCAAATGCTTGGAGATAAGGCTCATCAAATTCCAAATATACAAACCAAATGCTTCCAATATACAAAACTAAAACAATATGTGAATTTTCACTGCAGTTTAGCTCTAGGTATGGGGAGGACAAAAAATGTAACCATGAAGCATTCAAATGGGGATTCCTTGTTCAAAGATTCTGTCTTCCTTCTGAAATGGTTTTCTCTTATCACAATCAATTTTTTTTTTTTTTGNAGATTCTGTCTTCCTTCTGAAATGGTTTTCTCTTATCACAATCAATTTTTTTTTTTTTGGGGTTGTTGTGGGTGGGTTGTTCTAGAACTTGAAAGCGAGACTTTCTTATGAAGTTAACATAACATTTATTTTTTACCATATAAAACAGTAGAATCAGTTCCAGAACATTTAATAATAAAGAACNAAGCGAGACTTTCTTATGAAGTTAACATAACATTTATTTTTTACCATATAAAACAGAAGAATCAGTTCCAGAACATTTAATAATAAAGAACCAAGTTTTGAAGCACTCGCCAAGTTTTGAAGCACTCGCCAAGTTTTGAAACACTCTTTTTGAACTAAGTTTTTAAGCACTCTTTCAGTAGTATGAACTTTGAACATGAAAATGTATCAAAAAAACATAGAGCACATACCTATTGAGCTGGTTCTCTGAAGATATCCTACCCATTGGCTGCAATGCGTTTCTCCATGCTTAAACCCTATTACCCTAAGGAAGACACACACACACATATATATGCATTATATGTGTGTATGACCGAAGAGATAGAAATAGAGCAGACCCAGAGTCTGTTAGTGCCAATGTGGACTGGGACGTGCTCTGGTTATGGTAGTGGTACTAAAAAGAGGACGACAAGTGTCAACATAGGAAATGGTGGGGTGGTAAATCAATATAGGGATGTGCTAATTCCACCACCTCGATAGATGGTGAACTAAATCCAGAAAAAGGAGTGCACAAAAGGTTTGTTCTAATGGAGAAAGGTGTGTATCCAGACACCCTTTCTCCAGACCCTTATTCATCTTCTTCTCTCCCCCCACCCCACCACATCCTTGATCCTCCCCCTCGTCCTCCACACCAACGCCCAGAAGAACCCACCAAAACCAATACATGAACCAAGACCTCCTCCTCCACAGCACCACCATAACCCCTCCCACCAATCACGACCGCCAGCATCACTAATCAAATAGTTTAAGAGGATAATATAAAAAATCTAATAATTCAAAGGGTAAAGTAAAATCTTGTCCATAATTTAAGCGGTCAAAGTGTACTTTATCCTTGAAAATACCTCTCGCGGTCTCTCACCGAATCTTGCTTTTCCCTTTCCTGTCAATTCAACAAAATCTCTCTCTCTCTCTCTCTCACTCTCTTCTCTCTCTCTCTCTCTCTCTCTCTCTCAAGTTTCAAGTAGTTGCCTTTGCTCGAATTGAAGCGGTCCTCGCTCCCATTCTCTATTTTTTGTCTCTCTCAATTTGTCAATTGCGGCTATTCTCTCTCCCCGCCCCTTCGCATTCTCAGTTGCTTCCACACACACACACGCAGACCATTTATGAGAATTTCGTTTTTTTTTTTGGGGATATGAAATTGTGTGATATTGAACTGGAGTCACAATTTGAAAGCAATATCGTGGAACCCTAATTTTCTGGAAAATTTCAGGTTGTTGTGCATCTTGAACTGGTCTTTTGGGTGGGTATGGAAGAGCCAGGCAGCTGAAACAGGCGTTAATTGATGCTACAGCTGGGGCAATAGCGGGTGCTGTGTCTCGGATAGTAACATCGCCTCTCGATGTTATCAGATTTCAGGTCAATTGTTTTTAATTGTGTGTTGCTCAAATGCATTTGAGGTCGAGGCTCAATTTCTTTTGCTTTTTACTTTGTTGTGCTTGTGTCAATGTGTCCTTTGAGTGGAAGATCACATGTATTTGCTATGTTGATTGTGTGCAGTTTGCATTGTTTCATGTTGAATTTTAAGCATCTACGACAAATGGAAGAACACTTGTATTTGCTATGTTTGTGGTGGTCTTGTATTACTGTTTACTTTACCTATCTAAGTTTGTAATGGTATTGTCATTATGAGACTTTTCTTCCATTGGTAGAAGGATTGGGTAATTTGCTGCGTTGTATTTCTGTCTACTTTACAATTTACAAATAAAAACAATTGGAATTTGCTGCATCAATAACGTGTTCAAATCCCATCATTGGTGGTGTAATGGATTACAATCAAGCTAAAATAATAAGTGGGCTGTATTAGTGGTCTCTTGCTCCTCTCTGTGTGAGTTTGTTTATGTGGGGTGCATGTGTTAGGGCAGGTCTATGTCATGTGCATGAACAGCAGTGATCTTAAAAGATGTGGTTGGTTTATATTGACAGGTTCAACTGGAACCCACTTCTTCATGGGTTTTGCATCGCAAAGATGTGTATAGAGCATCAAAATATACTAGTATTTTGCAGGCAACCAAGGACATTTTCAGAGAGGAAGGTTTACGGTTATGGATTTTATCTTCCCATTGCGCACCTTTTTTGCTTTGATTATGTTGGTTAATTTGTAAGGTTATAAATTGCCTAGCTAGATGACATTGATAGTAGAGATGCTTATTGGCTTGACTGCGGCTGCTTATTTACACCCAAATGAAGAGGTACAGATCCATAGGCAATTTGATTCAATTGACCCAAAAACATGCGGAGGCAACCATGGGCAGTTGAGTGGCTTAAATGCTTTACCCTGAAACAGTCAATATTGAGTGAACAAAATAATAATCATGTGTTCTTCTATTAAGAGGGAGGTATAACATGGAATATTCATATTCAATACATTTTAGGCTTTGGTGGCTGGACTGCATTCCAAACATACCTTAACGGTGCATGAGTGAAGGACTTTAAAGTGCCTGGGATATTTGAAGTGAATGGATTTAGTATTTCCAAATCCCCAATTTGCAAAACCTATTGTTGGACAAATTCTATAATATAAGTAGTTAATGATCATGATTGTTCAGAATAGTTACATACTTTTGTATCTGTATCTATATATGTATCTGTATCTGTATAGATCCTCTCTTTGTTATTTTAGGAATGCCTTGCACCTGCACAATATATTATTCAAGCTACTTTCTCATTACAGGGTTTCTGGCGCGGTAATGTCCCAGCACTGCTCATGTTTATGCCATATACTGCCATACAATTTACAGTGTTGCATCAATTGAAAACATTTGCTGCGGGTTCTTCAAAGACAGGTCTGTTCTAGAACCAGACCGCATCTTTGGTGTATGTATAAACTGTATTGTATTGCCCTCCTTGGCAACGCATTTTAATGTATGATCAGATTTTACAACTAATGATCTCTCTCCTCCACCACCAAACAAAACCCTACCGACCTGTGTATCCTATTTGGCTAATTTCAGTTACCTTCAAACATACGCATTTTCTCAGGCTTGGTGTTTGATTGATATTGATGACCACTAAGAAAAAAAGCTTTGACGTTTTTGCAAAGAACGGGTTACACTTTGCACTGAAAAATATTTAATTTTCAATTTATATCTTAAAAGATAAATTTTTATATTGTACCCTCACTCAGATAAAAGATAATAATTTTAGGACTTTATTGTGTGGATTCAAACCAAATGTTTTTGTCTTGTTGCAGCCTTTCCAACTCACCCACCCCCTAGTTCACTTGCTAGCTGCCATTTTCCCATATTTTTTTGATGTCCTCCTTTTGCTAGCTACCAATTTTCCTCGACGCCTTCAAGGTCAATTGGACTCTCATACCTATATACAAACTGAACCCAGAAACTTAACATCAAGCTCTAAGTGATTTATCCCAATTTTTTTATATAATTATTTGTGTTGCTTTTGCCTAAACTCGAGTAGTTTTCATAAAAACTCGATTTAGATATAAAACTTTGAATATTCATATATGCTCCGGTTATTTTCAATGAGACGGCTCGATAATAGATCGTTTCTTCCAAATCATGCCCCATTCATTCCACTTCTCCCAGTGGAAATACATTAAACATTCCACGTTTTGAAGTCAATACTTTTGGTAAGTTCCATTTGGTTTTTTTGCCCATTGGATGTGGGATTCCTTTTTGCATCCTCAGTTGTAGGTAGAGAAGGCTTAAGGAAAGATGGTAGGACAAAGCAAAGTTTGAAGGAATTGTTCAAAACCTTAGTGAACCCACTCCAAGATTCTGAACCCAGTTCACATCACATGAAATGGGAGAAGTGGAGTAATGGAATTTTTGCAAAATAATAATAATAATAATAATAATAATAATAGTGAAGGGGAGACCACAGAATATTCTTTAGATTCCTAAAACATGTTTAAACTTTAATGGGTTTTTTTCAAGCACTTCATTTCTTAATACGTTTGTCAAACCCAAGAACTAAATAAATATAATGTGAAGCAGATCAAGTACAACCATGCATACACCCACTTGCTTTATAAAAATGGAAAATTTTACTATACCCAAGAGTAACTGTACGAAAAAGTTATAATTCAGGCAGATTAAGTAACGACTTAATCAGATCGAGCACTAAATGATTCACAAATGTTTTTTTATGATCAATTCCATTCTTTTTTCCGGAAATTCATTATATCATAACTTTGACTTCGTTGAGTCATAATTTTTCTCAGATTTTTAGGTATGATTGATTTTTTCAGAAAGCCGGTACAAAAAAAAAAAAACAACTTTAACACTTATATCTTTAAAAAAAAAATTTGACACAATTTGAATAAAAAATTTTAATTAGCAATTTTGAATCCCAAAAAGTAAAAATAATAAATTTAAAAATTAAAAATTAAATTATTATTGAAAAATAAAAAGCCTCGTTGACACTTATATCTTGAAACCTCACATGTCGTTGAGCCGTCCTCGGATTTTTTTTTTTTATAAAAATTCTCCCCGAGGTCTTCTTCTGATGGAATCTCTAAAATATAGTCAAAACCCTGTAAGTTTCAAAGAAGAAGGGAGGTGGTGGTGGTGGTGGTGGTGGTGGTAGTGCTGGTGGCGGCGTTGTTTATTATTATTAATTAAACCTCAGTCCAAACTTAGATTAAATCCTTAATTAAATTATGTTTTGCAGGCAAGTTCATTGAGAAACATAAGTTTGTCTTTTCTTTTGATCTGATCTGATAAATAAAAAAAGCTTCAAGCCAATGAGATTGGTCATTCCGACAACCTTGGAATATGCATTTACTTTGATTAAATTTTACTTAAAAAGAATTGTTTTAAAATCAAAGATACTGGGGTGGGTTTCCTTGAGATTAAGGTGTTAAGACAGTCGGGAATTGACTGAGGAAGAGGAAAAACCTAAACTTTGATTCTTTTTAAGTGTTGCAACAGGGGCGGTTGAAAAGAGTCATCTGGGGACTAGAACACATGCACTGATCAATATGAAATTATGCCAGTTGCAAATGAAAATTTTAATTAGGGTGTGCTGTCTGAACTCAAGTTATGTTTATATTGCTGTAATTTAGAATACAAATCACAAGAGAATTATATGTCTATTTTGTTTGTACCATGTTTCATAACTTGGCAAAATTCTCGACGAATCACATGCGCAAATCGCCCGAAGAACCCTCTAAATCACAAAAATTCGATTTATCAAATTTTTCATGACAATACTTATGAAGACGAATTATCACGTCGAGAGGAAAAAAAATAATAATGATTGTTGATTTAGTGAGAACAGAATTGGAGGAAACAATACTCACTNAAAACAACTTTAACACTTATATCTTTAAAAAAAAAATTTGACACAATTTGAATAAAAAATTTTAATTAGCAATTTTGAATCCCAAAAAGTAAAAATAATAAATTTAAAAATTAAAAATTAAATTATTATTGAAAAATAAAAAGCCTCGTTGACACTTATATCTTGAAACCTCACATGTCGTTGAGCCGTCCTCGGATTTTTTTTTTTTATAAAAATTCTCCCCGAGGTCTTCTTCTGATGGAATCTCTAAAATATAGTCAAAACCCTGTAAGTTTCAAAGAAGAAGGGAGGTGGTGGTGGTGGTGGTGGTGGTGGTAGTGCTGGTGGCGGCGTTGTTTATTATTATTAATTAAACCTCAGTCCAAACTTAGATTAAATCCTTAATTAAATTATGTTTTGCAGGCAAGTTCATTGAGAAACATAAGTTTGTCTTTTCTTTTGATCTGATCTGATAAATAAAAAAAGCTTCAAGCCAATGAGATTGGTCATTCCGACAACCTTGGAATATGCATTTACTTTGATTAAATTTTACTTAAAAAGAATTGTTTTAAAATCAAAGATACTGGGGTGGGTTTCCTTGAGATTAAGGTGTTAAGACAGTCGGGAATTGACTGAGGAAGAGGAAAAACCTAAACTTTGATTCTTTTTTAAGTGTTGCAACAGGGGCGGTTGAAAAGAGTCATCTGAGGACTAGAACACATGCACTGATCAATATGAAATTATGCCAGTTGCAAATGAAAATTTTAATTAGGGTGTGCTGTCTGAACTCAAGTTATGTTTATATTGCTGTAATTTAGAATACAAATCACAAGAGAATTATATGTCTATTTTGTTTGTACCATGTTTCATAACTTGGCAAAATTCTCGACGAATCACATGCGCAAATCGCCCGAAGAACCCTCTAAATCACAAAAATTCGATTTATCAAATTTTTCATGACAATACTTATGAAGACGAATTATCACGTCGAGAGGAAAAAAAATAATAATGATTGTTGATTTAGTGAGAACAGAATTGGAGGAAACAATACTCACTTAAAGGGATAATAAAGAGGGAGTGTTTGGAAGCAACTTAAAAGGGACAATTGTTTATGCGATTAATGTAGGATAAAATATTTAAAATAATAGTGATACCACGTCATCAAGAACACGTGATATCATCGTTACCCTGAATATTTACCCATAAAAGTCTATCTCTAATGGCTAGACTAGAGTGTGTATGAGCTTTCCTCAGACAACTTAGAAGTTAAATATAGTAATCCTTCTGCAAGGCCATTATTATTAAAGACACATAACATAGTAGAAATGGCTATGTTGATACCTCTTAGGTCCAATCTCATTGGACTTTGTCTCTTACTTGATTATTTGTTTCAAAATGCAACTGAAATCTCTATATAAAATATAGCCTGAAGCTCTGGAAACATAAATCACAACAGTGTTTCAAATCATTTATATTTTAATCTTTTAATTACAATAAATTTATTTTTTTAACCACGATAAATATATTAATCATAGTAAACATCTTAATCATATTTACTTTTTAACTTCACACTTCAACCATGGTAAAAACTGTGTTTTACACGGGATACCCTGATATTGTATATATTCTTAAANTTTTACACGGGATACCCTGATATTGTATATATTCTTAAATAAATTTATAGTTCTTAACTTGAACAGAGAGTCAAAAGTGATATAATTGATCAGAATAATTGTTATTTTGATCTAAAAATTTGACTTAATTTGTTAATTTAATGATGTGTAAAGTAATAGAGTTTCAATGAAAAGTCTAATAGTTAGAGTTACAATACTTCTATTGGATCATGTCATTATTGCATTCTTACGTCCAAAGATTAATCAGTTCAAATTTTTAGGTCCAAGTAACATTACTCAATTGATCATTAGACCTTGTAACCCTATAACTTTTTTTTTTTTGAGTACATAAAATAGATATGCAGATAAATGCACCTACATCAGGACTGAAGCAGATGTCATATTGTGTGCTCTGAGTTCTGAAAAATAAATTTAGCCCCGTCAAACTGCCGAAATTATGAAAACTCAAAATCAAGTATTGAACAAGAAAAATAACCCTAGAACTTTTCACTCCCTTGTGGCTNCCTCGTCAAACTGCCGAAATTATGAAAACTCAAAATCAAGTATTGAACAAGAAAAATAACCCTAGAGCTTTTCACTCCCTTGTGGCTATGTCTACTTAGGCAGTGACACTATGCAATTTTTGGTAGTGCTTAGAAATGAAACTGTTTGCTGTCGTATGGAATGACATAATCATAAAAGCAACACAAATAAAATTAATCAAGCTTTTTTTGAGATAGTGCCTTGGAGCCCCACTGCACATGAAAGCATTTAAACGTTTTACCATTATCCTAATGGCTAAGTGAAACTTCATTGGCAAGTACAAAAGAACCAATGGGAATATATAGCTAATTCCAATCTAATAACTCAAACTGATTGACTCTTATTTTGGAGTTTTTGAAGGTTTATATTTATCAAATGACATTGTCAGCATCCATTGTTGCATGCAGATGAATCCCAGACCACCATCGATGCCGACTTAATCGGCATCGAATCTTGTTATGTCATATTCGAATCATGTTAGTTTAAGNTCAGCATCCATTGTTGCATGCAGATGAATCCCAGACCACCATCGATGCCGACTTAATCGGCATCGAATCTTGTTATGTCATATTCGAATCATGTTAGTTTAAGTACGCGTTAAATATTTGTTACTTTTGATTCGATTTATTGGACTAATGTATTAGGTAATTTAACACCAATTTGATGGATTAATTAATCGTGCCCTGTTTCGGATGAATATATGAAACTAAGAATATGAGATTTATCACTTTTGTGGGTGATTTACCACTATTGTGAGTGTTTTATCACTATTATGATAGTTATTTTTATTACTTTTTTTCGGTACAAAAAAATTACCTCATTTGTGGGTAATTTTATTAATATTATGGTAACTATTTTACCANATAGTTATTTTTATTACTTTTTTTCGGTACAAAAAAATTACCTCATTTGTGGGTAATTTTATTAATATTATGGTAACTATTTTACCATTTTTTTTTAGTACCACAATAGTGATAAGAACATTCACAATTACAATAAAAATATTTACAAATGTGATAAATAGAGGTATGATACCGAAATCTAGACAATTTCATTACTCAGATTTTACCTTAACCCGACTCATTTATATTGATAAATCATGATATTTTTTTATACTAATTCGATACATTTATAGTTGATGTTAACATATCATGTCATTTTCGGATTGATATGGAGTGTTAATCAACTTTAACATGGTGATAAATATCATGTTTCGTTCGTATGGTATTNTCAGCATCCATTGTTGCATGCAGATGAATCCCAGACCACCATCGATGCCGACTTAGTCGGCATCGAATCTTGTTATGTCATATTCGAATCGTGTTATTTTAAGTACGCATTAAATATTTGTTACTTTTGATTCGATTTATTGGACTAATGTATTAGGTAATTTAACACCAATTTGATGGATTTATTAATCGTGCCCTGTTTCGGATGAATATATGAAACTAAGAATATGAGATTTATCACTTTTGTGGGTGATTTACCACTATTGTGAGTGTTTTATCACTATTATGGTAGTTATTTTTACTACTTTTTTTCGGTACAAAAAAATTACCTCATTTGTGGGTAATTTTATTACTATTATGGTAANGTAGTTATTTTTACTACTTTTTTTCGGTACAAAAAAATTACCTCATTTGTGGGTAATTTTATTACTATTATGGTAACTATTTTACCATTTTTTTTAGTACCACAATAGTGATAAGAACATTCACAATTACGATAAAAATATTCACAAATGTGATAAATAGAGGTATGATACCGAAATCTAGACAATTCCATTACTCAGATTTTACCTTAACCCGACTCATTTATATTGATAGATCATGATATTTTTTTATACTAATCCGATACATTTATAGTTGATGTTAACATATCATGTCATTTTCGGATTGATATCGAGTGTTAATCAACTTTAACATGGTGATAAATATCATGTTTCGTTCGTATGGTATTAACGTACCGTCATGAAAATCACCACTGTTACTCNGAGTGTTAATCAACTTTAACATGGTGATAAATATCATGTTTCGTTCGTATGGTATTAACGTACCGTCATGAAAATCACCACTGTTACTCATGTGCCATGACATGAATGTTATCATGTACATGCTCATGAAGTTATGGGAGTATATAGGGGTTTGACCAAGAAAGAAAAATGTCTGTTCAACAAGAAACAGTCCAATTTCTCTGGGAAAAATAAAATGGATAATGCGGGTGCTAATGCCTCAGGTGATGAGAGTGGCCTCAGAGATCATGACAGATTGTTACCCATAGCCAATGTTGGTAGGATCATGAAGCAAACCTTGCCACCAAATGCAAAGATCTCAAAAGAAGCCAAAGAAACAATGCAAGAGTGTGTATCTGAGTTCATAAGCTTTGTCACCGGAGAAGCATCGGAGAAGTGCCGGAAAGAGAGGCGAAAGACAGTGAACGGCGACGACATCTGCTGGGCATTAGGAACACTGGGTTTTGATGACTATGCTGGTCCACTAAGGAGGTATTTGCATAGATATAGAGAGCTAGAAGGAGATAGAACTAATAATCCAGAAAAAGTTGGAAACAGTGAAGAGAAGGAAGAGTCTCCCTCATATACAAGTCCTCAAGCAAGGCAACAAGCTANCAGAAAAAGTTGGAAACAGTGAAGAGAAGGAAGAGTCTCCCTCATATACAAGTCCTCAAGCAAGGCAACAAGCTATTGATCAAGCATCTATTTCAATCAAGTTCAACAACATTTAGAAGGATAATAGCTCTACTATCTAGGCCATTTTTGTGTTTTAATTAGGAGTAGACTAAGACATTTCGGTTATATCGAGGAATTTCATTATGGTTTTCTTCTTCCTCTTCTTTCATTTCTTATCTAAATTTTCTGTTAGATGGCTACTTGCAGTTTCAAGACTTTCTTGAGTTGAGTATGATTGTTTTTGATTTGTCAGATGACAAATTCAGGCGTCTTGATGGGAATTTAGGGAGACAGCCAACAAACCAATGATCTTGATCTGTGGTTGCAAAGATTAGGGGTGGAATTTTGTTACATTTTTATTGATTTTGCTTGATCTTCTTGATGATTTTTTACAAGCCAATTGCTATACTTTTGATAGATTTTCAGCTAAGGGACTGGTAATATGGGCTATAAATCAAACCATTCTTCAATCCAGCTCTTATCAGACTAAAATAGAGAAGGTGAGTAGACCACTAGTATTTCATCAATTTGATCTACTAAATTTAGAAGATAAGCTATTATTTATTGGCTTTCTCTACTTTAATTCACAAACTAATACTGATAGATCTCCTGTTAATAATCGTACATGTAACCATTCATGTTTGAAATCTCATTTTTCATCATTCACGGTCATATTCTACTTCTTATAATTATTACTTGTCCCTCCCTAGTGCGGAGCAAATTTTGGGTGTGTTTTTGACTGGGTTGGGGTTTGGGAGTTTTGTTCGATCCTCATTTAATGCTCTTTTTGGTGATTAGTAATTTTTCCCATGAGTTTTTTCTTGTTTCCCCAATTTTTCTTGGCAATTCATCTCAATAAAATCAACAAGTTTTTCTCTCTCGCTCTCTCTCTCTCTCTCTCTCTCACACACACACATTCCTTGTTTGGGAACAGTCCCAGTTCAAGTCTCATGACAAATCACCAACACCAACCAGCATAACNATTTTTCCCATGAGTTTTTTCTTGTTTCCCCAATTTTTCTTGGCAATTCATCTCAATAAAATCAACAAGTTTTTCACTCTCGCTCTCTCTCTCTCTCTCTCACACACACACATTCCTTGTTTGGGAACAGTCCCAGTTCAAGTCTCATGACAAATCACCAACACCAACCAGCATAACATATTCTTTAGGTTTAGGGTTTAGAGTTTCTTGGGTCCTTCCAAACATTTAGGTTTTGCATCATATTCTTTAGGTTTCTTTCCTCTTAGAGACTTGGATTCTTCCACATAAAAAGATGAGGCCAAAATTACAAGACAGGAATATAGGGAAAGCAAAAACAAAAACATTGTGGAAATCAACTGCCAATGATAGCTCAGNCTAGGGTTTAGGGTTTCTTGGGTCCTTCCAAACATTTAGGTTTTGCATCATATTCTTTAGGTTTCTTTCCTCTTAGAGACTTGGCTTCTTCCACATAAAAAGATGAGGCCAAAATTACAAGACAGGAATATAGGGAAAGCAAAAACAAAAACATTGTGGAAATCAACTGCCAATGATAGCTCAGTTTGGTACTATGTGCAATGACCTTGTTCTTAGTTGAAGAATATTCAAGTATTAAGTAGCTCTCTTCTTGAAAGGGACTTGCCCTAGAATGCACAAACTTTCAATAGAAATATGCTGCTGTGATTGGCTGTCCTCTAAGCTCGGAAAATGTCATAAACAAGATTTTACACAATACACGAAATTCTCAATGTTGCCAGGTTTGAGAAGGGTCAAATACATTTACCATCATAAATTATTGACTCCGCACTTACAATTTTAATGATTTTTTAAGTTATTTGGCTCTGATCATTTCATTTTTAGAGATTGAGGATTAACATTGTGCTGCATTAAGCATACTATCTGCATATAGACATGCCTTCTTTTTATAATTTTGTTCTGCTACTTTGTTTTTTGAGTTCTCTCATATCTTTCTATGCATTATGGTCCTATGGATATATAGTTGTTGCTGCTCATTAGCATCTGCAAGTTATGTCAATGTAGAATACAAATATATATATATACACACACACACACAATGTCTATCTTTGCTCTTGCATGCAATTTTTTGTCATGATTTGAATTATAATATGCAAGTAGCAACCCAATCCATACACAGCTTCTCACAACACACACTAAAAGGTTATAGTCAGTGCTCAGGAATCAAATATATCATGATGTTTAGAAGAAGTAAGTGGTAAGAAGTCTTACCTCCTTTATGAATAAACTGAGTTCCAAACTTGAACCCGTGATGTATCGATCGCTTGGGTAGTTTCTGAACAAGAGACTTTGTTAAAAAAACAGTCAACAGGAAAGGAATCTGTCTTTCTGCCTAACTTTGGTAAGTTTCTCCCAAAGGAATCCCATAAATTTTCACGAGTTCTTTAGTAGTTAAGTTTGACTACTCAATAATTTGGTTTCTTGGTCCAGTGCATCTCATATATAGTTAGGGAACAACACATACCAAAAGATTTTGAAGAATGAATGCACAAAAGAGTATAAAATCAACAACCCTTACGTATAACCTATTCACATTGAGAATGCAGGATGTTGCTTCTATGGATTGTGTTTGGAAAATAAGTAAACAAAAAAAAGGAAAAAAAAAAAGGAAAAGAAATATTAAGAATTTAATTGACTAATTCACAAAATTCAAATATTCATATCCTGCAAAAGTCAAAAGAGAGAAATTTCATTCATTCATATGTGCACTACAAGTTCAAAAAAAAATATTCTAAGAAAATAATATTTTGTTCCAAGTGTGGAAGATTATGGACTTAAATTTGGAGGTCCACTTTAATATAAATGGATGAATAAAAGTATTCTAAGAAAATAATATTTTTGTCTTTTCATTCGTTTTTTTATTTGAAATTTTAGTACTTTTTATGTGTTTAAACTTAACTTTGTTAATATAAGCTCGTGATTTTTTAAGTCAAATTTTGTACCTCTCGAACATAGTTCTGACTCCATGACCCAAAAAAAAAAAAAAAANTAAGAAAATAATATTTTTTTGTCTTTTCATTCGTTTTTTTATTTGAAATTTTAGTACTTTTTATGTGTTTAAACTTATCTTTGTTAATATAAGCTCGTGATTTTTTAAGTCAAATTTTGTACCTCTCGAACATAGTTCTGACTCCATGACCCAAAAAAAAAAAAAAAAACATGGTTCTGACTCCACCCCTAATAAATTTGCACTAGTACCTCAGTATATAATCCCAGCTTGGTGATAAATGTGGATTCTTTTTCACTTTGTTTTCATCTTGGTAATAAAATGAGGGTAATAGTGGCATAAGCATAAAAGCGGATGATGGGTTTTCATGAAAAACAAGAAAACAANCTTCTGACTCCACCCCTAATAAATTTGCACTACTACCTTAGTATATAATCCCAGCTTGGTGATAAATGTGGATTCTTTTTCACTTTGTTTTCATCTTGGTAATAAAATGAGGGTAATAGTGGCATAAGCATAAAAGCGGATGATGGGTTTTCATGAAAAACAAGAAAACAAAAAAGGGTATATATATATATATCATAGCTAAAAAGTTGAATTCTCAATTTATAAAAGTACAAAAATAGTCAAGATTGATTCAATCTTTGTCTACTTTAATCTAATAGTATAAAATTTATCCCACAAAAAAAATCAATTTTTTGCATGACCTCCGATTCTAGACAATTCAATCAACACACTATCCAATGTCAAACAATACCATCAATCCAATNAGAAAAACAAGAAAACAAAAAAGGGTATATATATATATATATATCATAGCTAAAAAGTTGAATTCTCAATTTATAAAAGTACAAAAATAGTCAAGATTGATTCAATCTTTGTCTACTTTAATCTAATAGTATAAAATTTATCCCACAAAAAAAATCAATTTTTTGCATGACCTCCGATTCTAGACAATTCAATCAACACACTATCCAATGTCAAACAATACCATCAATCCAATATTAATAAAAATTAAAATACAAATATTGCAATATCAGTTCGATTTTTTATATATTATGTAGTATCTTCAAACACGAAGTTATTGCTAGTCTATCTAATAGTACAGTTAAAAAGTTGAATTTTTAACTTATAAAAGTACAAATAACGGTTAAAATTAATCCAATTTTTATTTACTTTAATTAAATTGTACAAAATTCATTCTAAATTATTTTTTTTCCGCTCAAAAATATCACTTTCATTACACAAACCCCAATACAAGATAATCCCACCAATTCACACATATACCTCTCTTCTTTCTTCTCCTACCTCTTTCCTATTTTATTTTGTTAATTTAATTTTATATTGTGTTATTAAATAGAAAAAAATAAATTTAAAATGTTGTACAATCAGTGTTTAAAATTCTCTATTTCATTTTCTTGGGTAACACAAACACATAAAAAGGGCAATTTTTAATATTATAAATGGGCACTATTTTTAAATAAAATTTCAAACAATTTATCCCAAATTATTGTATTACATCAAGCATAATCTTTAAAGNAGGCACAATTTTTAAACAAAATTTCAAACAATTTATCCCAAATTATTGTATTACATCAAGCATAATCTTTAAAGCATCATTCACATGTCATTTGTGTCAATGTGATACTTGAGTAATGTTACGTTGACCAAAATTAAGAACCAAAAAGAGTGACCAAATGACATGGCGGCATACGTGGAGCCTAATCAGCCTGCCATGTCAGTCGTCATGTCATTTGATCACTCTTTTTTATCCCTAATTTTGGTACTTTAATCCAAATTCGTGATTATCTATTACAAAATNTGAGTAATGTTACATTGACCAAAATTAAGAACCAAAAAGAGTGACCAAATGACATGGCGGCATACGTGGAGCCTAATCAGCCTGCCATGTCAGTCGTCATGTCATTTGATCACTCTTTTTTATCCCTAATTTTGGTACTTTAATCCAAATTCGTGATTATCTATTACAAAATATCTCACGTACACTACTAATCTCTGACTCATGTGATGTGCATGTGAGAAATTTTGTGGAAGTTAGCTGCGAATATAGATGGAAGTATCACATTGACAAAATTGATATAATTTAGGGGTTAAATTGATATAAATTATATAATTTAGTGGTCAAATAGATGGAAGGGCCANTACTCATGTGATGTGCATGTGAGAAATTCCGTGGAAGTTAGCTGCGAATCTAGATGGAAGTATCACATTGACAAAACTGATATAATTTAGGGGTTAAATTGATATAAATTATATAATTTAGTGGTCAAATAGATGGAAGGGCCACATTGAGTTAATGATATAGTCGAAGGATACAAAACATAA